AACTACAAGACACGGTTGTGATACAGAAGACATAGGCTACTCCCCGCTGTTTAAACGCTTGACGTCTACACATATGAATATTAATGTTGACGTAAATGTGATAATACTAATGTAGTATTACATCTTGTCAGCCTACGAACGCCTAGAAAGCTTGTTACTATAAGCGACAAAATGATATTATGCATTAAAGTTACAATCGGCTTATCTTAACATTGCATTGAGGTGTAACCACCTCAACCAAATATGATAAACAACATGTTATAAATGCCAAGTTTTCGTTTGTCATCATTTGCTTTGCTGTTAGTTTCTTTGCTTGCTGCTCTGTTCTTTAGCAGACACTAAGTATCAAACAACCCACTGAGCCATGCTATTCTTAATAATATAACATACTATTTGATTCACACATTGTTCTCGATACTCAATATAATCAAGTAAGTGTTTTAAAAAACTAATCAAACAACAACAAAAAATTAAACAAAAAATATTAATAACATTATAGCACAGCACTCGTTGAATGTCTACTATTATATAACAAATTCGAAGCGATTATACAATTATTCCATTCTGCCCCTATGTGCGAAGGTTCATCATATCTTACATCTCTTCAAGTAGGTTACCGATAATTTCACATACTTTCCCATTAATAGCCGAGACGAAGCCAACTTTCACTACACTTTCAAAAAGGTCGTTGACCACATTCACAATAATCTTAAGAGGTTGCAATGGGAATGCTTTACTTCATGTATAAAGAGTTGTGGACATAATGCCTTTCTTTAATTGCAATATTGCGATTGACGGAGCTACCAGTCCTTCATGATTGATATAAACATTATTGAAAAGCTTTTGAGACTTGCCACATAGAATTTCACTAACAATATAATATAAACACTTGTGTCAAACAAGCAAACGAAGATGTGGGTTTGTAATTTAGTTCGAGAAACATTTCTTACAACCAAAAGTGCCATCAAATAGGAACAATGCACTCAGCATTTTTGTCCCGACTCTAACCACGCGTTGATGTGTTTTGTTGAAGGTTAGCTTATTTTTTAGAACCCTCTCTCTTAGTGAGTTATACACGAAGCCTTGTCCGAATAAGCAGATTAGAAATTAGTTAAAATATACCTTAAAAGCTGCAAAGTTCAAGAATTGTATATTATTGGACAACCAAAGTTAAGGTAGTCAAGCAAACTGCAAGACCAACACATACAATGCTATCGTGCTCAAACAAAATCGTAATAGACGAAAACGGTTAAAATAGGCTTTTATTTCTTTGGCTTAGGGAGATGACAGAATGTTAAAGAAATTTGTAATGAGGTGGCTGCAAAGACGACAATCGAAATAATACACCTGACGTCAACCGACAGTGTGAAATATGCTTTTTGCTCGATGTATTGTCAGATTTGAAAACCATACAGGCATTATGTATTGAAGATGCTTTTCATTTTTAATATTTTAAACACTGCTGTTATCGAAAAGGGGGTCAAATGTTGAGATGGAAACTTTATCCGAGTTAAAATTCAAAAGAGTAGTCACATACGATAGTACTCCTTTGACACATTAAAGAATCAGAGAGTGGAAAATAGCTTTGTTCTATACGCTGATCTGATGTAAAATTGTAAGTGGACTCATTTGTCGAAGACAGTTGATTCATTTCCAGCTAAAAAGAGAGAGAGTAAAGTAATGCTGCCGAGAGACTCAAAACAAATTTTTAAAATGCTACACTTATATTAGAAAAGAAACAAGCTCAAACTTGGCACTCAACTTAGATTTAGACCCCAAAATAGTGATTCCGTTTTAATAAATGTTAATACGTTTTGGGTTGTAGTTTTTATTTGCCTTAATTGTACTGACTGGCACAACTGCAAAAACAACTTTTATTCTACCGGTACTTATAACAGACTTCAAATGTAAGTGACCAATTTAAGTGAAGACAATGGTTCCTCGAACATTATACTTCATACGACTTGGTGCACTGCAGTTATTGAGACTGGATTGAATTGTGAGTAACTTAGTAATGTTAAGTATTTTACCCCAGGAAATTTTTTAAAGCCAATTCGTATGTTTTAAGGCAAACCTGTTGCCAGGTTGACATCCATTAAAAAACAAAAACAAACAAATTATCGAATTTCAAATTTTTACAAATACTTTTACGATGAGAACGCTCCCATACCTAACTCCCTCCAGAAATTTAAGTTACAGAAATGAATGCAATGCTGTTATTGAGGTGGCTGCCTTAAACAGAGGGTCGTGACGTCACACGAGGAGGAAATGACGTCATACTTACTCCACGAAATCCGGTGGATTCTCGGCGCGAGCCATAAAGACACAGTTGGTGATGATGGTGATCATAACAGTCACACTAAACAACGTGGCCTAGTTAAGGAAGCAACTGGGAATCATTTGGCGTCCTTGACAGCACGGCTGTACAATCAGTGAAACAGCTGCTGTTTTGCTGCTGTCTGATCAGTGAAAGTAACATTGGGAAAACAACAAAAACATAGCTCAAGAACACACATACTGATGACGTCAAAGGCATATTTATATTGTTTTATTAAGTCTGGAGCCTGGGTGAGGAACGAGTACGTTATTGAGACACTAAAGATATTTGAAGTATCCTGCTGTTTGCGAGTGTGTGTGTGTGTGTAAGTGTCTCTCTCTCTCTCTCTCTCTCTCTGTGTGTGTGTGTGTGT